AGCCATTACGTTCTTGTATGTGTCATGGGCTATATTCCGTAGAAAACATAAAAGTACTAAGTGATTGGTTGAATTTTGTTCCGCTGCCACATGAACCGCTCCATGTGACTTCAGCCTAAATTGCTCCTCTTCATGAACTTTTTAACATTCTTTTCAAATAGTAGAATAATCTAAATTTGATTATTTCAGGTAATAACGAAATTCGTAATTGTCTCGCAGAATTCGAATCCTTAGAAACTGAATTAATTTCTGCCATAATTTCCGTCTATTTACATCAGATAACAAAAAATTGCATTCGAGTGTTAAACTGTTGACTATGCAGTGGCAGTTAAGAGATGAATAAGTTTCAGAATGCTGTAAATCTCATTATAAACTCGGCTGCTTTCTGTTAAGTAAATATAATGAATTATATAAAGGATTATAAGGATTTTAAGAGTGTACTTGAATATATTTTTTATACTCAGGTAGTTATGGATAGTCTTCAAAAACCAAAGACAAAGAATGGACTGCGCGATCCGTATCTAATAGCATTTTCGATTGGGGTGCACTGGCTGCACTCAGTGTCAAGAGCGTGTTCGATTGGCAGTGCCAATGCGCACTTGGCTAGTGTCACGTGTTCATTTGATCGCACGATACTCGCGTAGTGCGCACTCAGTGGCACGAGATATTTTGACGGTGCCAGTTCAGTGCACGTTTTATCACAGTTAAGGATATACATAGGGACAAGCAAATCTGCGCAGTTGAATTAAAAACGGGGTCTTGTCCCTACTCTTAATATCTTTTACTGTGGTTTTGTAACATTTTGTTGAACATTGCTTCAAAGTGAACAAAAATGAGTTTCAGCTTTAGCACTGAAAATCTTGGCGTATTCTTTTGAACTTGCACTATTCAGTGCAACCCATGGAACTCGTCCAGTGTTGGTGTGAACTGAGTGCGCACTGGTGCGCACTAACTTTTGCCCAATCGAAAACGCTATTATACCCCAAAGCTCTGATTGGACGGCTCGTTATTCCCTGTTGCCTGTGCCTATTGCCTGTGTCTATTGTGTTTCCAGCTATCAGAGAGCCAGTAACGCAACTTCAAGTGCAAGATATCGTTCAGTGTGCTTCAGCGTTGTCAGGTCAAACTAGAGCACTAGAAACGTAGGTATTTGCGTCCACCATTTTTACTCCTTTCCCCACTGTTTGTTCTCTCTTCAACCTTCTCTCTTCTATCTCCAATCTTCTTAGTTTAGCGGCGGAATGGAGAGAGAACGAGGAATTGAGAAAAGGAACAAGAGAGTGAGAAAAGGAGTAAAAATGGCGGATGCGAATACTCACGTTTATAGTGCCTTAGGCCAGAATCAGACTACGCATTAAAGATTGAGATTGAAGATTGAAGATTAAAATTTGACCACTGAGAACAAAGGAATTTTAGGTACTATTATTTTGATTGGTCAAATTTCAATCTTTCAATCTTCAATCTCAATCTTCAATGCATAGTCTGATTCCGGCCTTAGTCAAGCCACAGCAATTGTAAATGACATTGGCACCGAAAACATTGATCGTCAAACGATAATAATGACAAGAAAATTGAAAGCAGGTAACTGATTCTGTATTATTACAATTAAAATATATATGTAGTTTGCTGGTGCATATTGTGCACACACTCTTTATTATAGCTATATTTTAAGCCAGCACCGCTACCAAAAATTTTCTGGTGGAGAATGCAATGGAACCTCAACAATTGCGAGTGATAAGACGATGTAAATTAATATTGAATGTTATTCAAAGATTACAGCCTGTTTTAGCTACAATTATGAACAATGCAACGCACGAAAAAACTGTGAGAGGTCAAGGAGATTCCATTCATGGTACATAATGTCCAATAATTACTAAAACGCCCCACTCTGTAGTATACTATGCCAGTAGGCGCTAATGCACTATCAAGGAAAAATTACACTAATGAAATTATGTGTGTATTACAGGTAGCATATCAAATGCCATGAACTTTCCATCCACAATTTATGGTTTGTCACGCTATGAAAATAGTCTAGTTTATATTAGAACATCCTATACAAGTTTGTGAGAATTTGTACTCTTTGTATATATGTCATTTATACTCTTCCAAATTAACATCAAATGTTATCTATGTTTTAGTAAAAACGCATAAACCACAAGTGTCCATTCAACCAGTAAACAGTACAGTGCAGAAACTATCGAATCTGTCATATTTGATACCTCATTGGTTTGTCACGCTATGAAAATAGTCTAGTTTATATTAGAACATCCTATACAAGTTTGTGAGAATTTGTACTCTTTGTATATATGTCATTTATACTCTTCCAAATTAACATCAAATGTTATCTATGTTTAGTAAAAATGCATAAACCACAAGTGTCCATTCAACCAGTAAACAGTACAGTGCAGAAACTATCGGATCTGTCGTATTTGATACCTCAGGCGTCGTCTACAATACACGGAGTAAGTAGTAAGAGTAAGAAATTGACCAATCACAGTCGATTATTCTTCTCACATTCGACTGTGATTGGTCAATTTCTTACTCTTACTTCTTACTCTGTGTATTGTAGACGAACCTATACACATAGGGTATGAGCACAAGGATTGCCGTAACGCTTTTCGGCAGTCTTAAGTTGTAAACGTAAGTAACGCACAACCATTGGCGTATGACTTTAATTTGTGTACATTGCCTTAGGCATTGCCTATGGCAATATACATAAGTTAAAGTCATACGCCAATGCTTGTGCGTTACGGGGTGATCCCGATTGACCACGGCTCGATTGGACACCACCAATCACAGCGACCGGTGCTTAGGAGCTTTGTAGTCTCAAGCGCTGTGAGGCCGCAATCAGACTAGGCATTGAAGATTGAGATTAAAGATTAAGGATTGAAATTTCACCAATGAGGACAAAGAAATTCTGGTTCCTTTTGTTCTGATTGGTCAAACTTCAATCTTTTAATCTTCAATCTCATTCTTCAATGCGTAGTCTGATTCCGGCCTAAGTGGCTC